TGGTGGTGGCGATGGCGGGCAGTGGTTGTGTTCATTTCGGATGGCAGTGTTGATTGGCAGTGGTTGATGGTTCATGGTGGTAGCAGTGGGGTTGATTTTGGTTGATGGTTGTGTCGTGGCGGTGCGGTGGTTGATTTCGGTGGTCGACTAGCTGATTTTGAGCAGAATTTTCGGCTAGATTGGCCGGAATTAGGGTCAATCGTTGGGTGGGGTTTGTAGACAACATTGCGGGCTTCAAGTTGGTACTATGATCCGGTGGCTATGGTGGCCGGACAGTGGTGGTTTGAGCCTCCATAGGTGGCATGGAGTTGATGGTTGATAGTGGTGGTGGTATTGAGAGATAAGAGTTGAATTTAGGGTTCGAAGTGAACGCGTTTTTGAGTTTCGTTTTTTGAGAAATAGTTTTCTAAAATAACAGGAAGAACGCGTTTTTAATATTCTCAAAATGGACACTCAAAACTCAAAATGAATTCAAAATTTAAAACAAAAAACTGAAACACAAAGAGAACAACCTCTTATATTTTTCTACTCGAGATTTGATGATGAGTGTGTTAGCATTTTTGTATGACGACATTGTATTAGCATTTTCTTCTCCTGAATACATGGCAACTATTTGTTAAGGTTCTTACCGGTAGGTTGCACTTAGTGTTGGATGGGTGTTGTATATATGCTATGGGCCTGTCCTATCTTCGGACTGGTGCGGAGTGTTGTTGAGTGCCTGATTAATATTGGATGCAACGTGTATACATTAGTACTGTTTTGAGTACACGATTGATTTTTTTGTCGTGATTTGTCACTGATTTGGTTCTAAAAATCGCAAAAATGTTATAACAATCTTTGTTTCAAGTCTGGATGTAGTTCTTTTCAATTGTGACCTTAATCTTGCAATCTAGTGATTGGTTTTAGGGTATGTAGTATATTTGCAGGAGAATGGGGCCTATGCAAAGTTCAAGAACCTCAACTATGAAGAGTATACCATTGGTACGAGACGAGGGAAAGATCGTCCTCCAAGATGGATATCTCGAGTCATCGCATTAGCATGAAACGGAAGTTCTATAGGCAAATGGAATGGGGAAAGAAAACGAAATATGAGGTTAGGAAGTTGTGTTTTTCAGTCGACCATTTAACTAACATCGCTGAGAAACTAGCGTCCTTTCGTAGTAAGAAGAGTGGTGATATGCCCTTCGTTACTGAGTGCATCCAGGAGCTCGAGGACACCGACAATCCCTTGCACTTATTCGCTCTTTCATTCCTAGCGCTTCGAATAAACAAGGGCGTCCTCATTGCTTGTGGCACAAAATTCGAGTGGATGAAGTATAATTTCAATAGCTAGTTACCATGAAGACATTGTTATAGTATTATGTATCGGGTGGCAAATTTCACACTTTGAGTTGGTTCAATGTGCTGAATTTTATGCTTATGTGATGACTTTTTTGCATTTCCTAATTTTAATTTGCATTGAAATGGGATCCTAGAAAATTGTAATTGCTATGATTTGTTTACCTTAATGGTTTGTGATCTCTTTGTGAAGATTCTTGTTATGTTAACAAAATTACCATGTGCACATAGTTAAAATGACTTGATATACATTAGTAGGCTAATTTGATAGTCACCATAAGCACATCAATTTTGAATTCAATAGGTTTTTTGTTGCAATGATACAGTTGAAATAGGAGTGTATAGCACATATAAATTCACACAAGGGATTGTTCCTTTCTTTATTAAAGTCATTATAGCAGAAAGAGTGTTATTTCATTTGTGAATTTAGTGTTCGCACCGAATCGCTTTATTCTTACAAGATGATGGATATCCATTTTAAGTGTTGTCTACAACTCGACTCTGACCTCGAAGATGAGTTTTAGGATAGTTAATTCTCTAAGATGTTTGAAGAAGATATTAGGACGTGGCTACGATATGCCGCATAACTGAACGCATGATTAGTCAACATATCCAAAAATTTAGGCAGAGCCTGAGCCCATCTTTCCCCTAGCCGTTAACTTATGTATTATTCGCCCTGGAAGAAAGTGAGCCAATCTTACCCGTCACGGATTTTTGTTACTTCCCCATGATTCAAACCTATGACTTTTCCCTTAAGAGAGGTTTAAGTTGAATTTTGGTACCAATCAGAGAGTTCTCTTACGTACTGTTTGTTTCGGGAGAGCCTAAGTCCTCTTACCCCTCATGACTTTCTGTCGCTTTTAAACCAAGGTTTCTGCTTAATGAGAGACGTTGAATCTTGGTACCAATTGGGTTGTCAAGATTCAACATAAGTTTTTATTAGGCAGAGTCTTGGGTTCGAATCCTGTGAAATGCGATAGAAAGCTATGAAGGGGTAAGTAGGCAGATGCCCACCCAAAACGAGTAGTATATATGAATAATAGTTGGCATGAAAGCTAAATCGTTACAAAAGTTGTGCATTTTTTTTTGTAACGACCCAAGTCTCGTGCCTGGTAGTTCTCTTACGTACTGTTCGTTATGGGAGAGCCTAAGCCCTTCCATCCCTCGTGGCTTTTTGTTGCGTTCATTAGGATTTGAACATATGTTCTTTCCTTAATAGATATTTAAGTTGAATCCTAATACCAATTGGACAGCTTACACAACTGGTATCAGAATTCGGCGCAAGTTTCTCATTAGACATAGGTCTTGGGTTCGAATCATTGGGGACGCAATAGAAAATCGTGAGGGATAAGTGGATGGATACCTACCCAAAACAGACAGTATGTATGATATAATGGTTATGGCATAGAGGCAATTTTTTGTAACGACCCAGGCCTCGTAGCCAATTGTTCTCTTATGTATTGTCCAATTTGGGAAAGCATAAGCTCTTTTATCCCTTACGACTTTTTGTTGCATTATCCTAGATTCGAACATATGACCTTCCATTAAGAGGGCCTTAAGTTAAATTCTGATACCGATTAGATCCAATTGGTTTTATTTGATAGAAGTCTTGGGTTCGAATTCTAGGGGACATGATAGAAAGTCATGAGGCGGTAAGTGGGTAGATGTTCACCCAAGGCAGACAGTACGTATGATATAACGGCTTGGGTAGTTAGGTTGGGTCATTAACACAGGCCTGGGTTGTTAGGTTGGGTCATTAACACACCTGTTGATGCTTGAAGCTTTGCACGGGAGATGAAAAACGATGTTGAAGGAGTTTCTCATGTACCCGTCTATGTTCATCCATATTACTCATGTTTTTCACGAAGAATACAATTTAAACAGTATTGCTGATATTGATGTCTACGCACATGTCGGTAAGTTTTTATGCATAGTGTACCTCATGAAAGGGTATTTTCAGGACATACTTTTAGGACACTCGTTGGAGATAATTAGCCATTGCTTCAAGACGGATTGCATGTTGTGGTTAGATTTGCTTGATGTAATATTAAACATTATCTTAAATAGAACTAAAGTTCAATGAATCACCCTCTCGATCTTGTTGAGCATCCAATATTTCAAGTAAAAGAAAATACTTATCCCTATGATTAGTTGTTGAGTTTTATACTTCGAACACAATGTTTAGTTGTTTTCTCTCCCCTATACAATTGTATCAAAACCGTTGACGACATGCATATCAGAGCACTTGTGCCACATGACCAAATACAGCACTTCATAGGATGAAAAGGCATTCATACACAGAACATCATGACAGCGTGCAACTCCGTTTGTATTTCACGTTTGTTCTGAATGGCACAACAAAGGACACTACGATCTTAGAATTTTGGCTAGGGCAATTTAGAGTCCCAACATTCATTTCATAGCTGTGTACTAAGTAATACCTAGTGGACATGAGTTTCGCACACATGTTAGGATATATGGCCTCGTACAAAAGATCCAACATAAAAATATCATTTTCAAGAGTTTTGAGTTGAGCTCAATCGTCGTAGACGAAGGCTTTGAAATTTTTGGAAGCGATTCAACTTCAATCTGAACAAAGTTATAGAGTGGGCTTTTAGTGTATGGAAGAAGCTCAGTTGCCTTGTTACTCGTTTTAGGCATAGATGTTGTCGCGGCAAGGGCTATCCACAACTTCCTCAAACCATTTGTGATTATCTGTGAGGCGTTGCAAAGAGTGTAGGCGGACAAAGATGCTGCAAAGATACCTACCTAATAAGGAAGATGAAATTGTAGCCGAGTTGGATGCGCCTAGAGAGGAACGCCATGTCGTGGGATCAATTGTTGGGTTACGTGGTACATCAGTTGGATAGCATTTAATTGGTCAATTACTTTTAAATTTTCACAACTAGGCCTTTTTTACTTCATGAAATACCTCGGTTAGCGTACATGTTATTGTTCGGTTGTTTGGTTGCCCTTGGTCAGGTTTGATTCTTTACAATTTGTGAAATTAAAATTCATCTGAGCTGTTTTTTTCCCCATATCGAAAAATTGAAATCTTGCGGTTGTGATACTCTATGAGTTATAAAGTGTAGCAAAATCAAAATTAAAGATTTTGGCCAAAAAGGACCAAAAAGATTTTTTTTTTTAATTTTGAAGGTGTCTACAGTAAAACCGAGGGTAGTGTTATTTTTTCAAAAGTAATGCTATTCGTAATCTCACTGCAACAGTCATTCTACGCAGCATACACATGACAAGTGTTATTTGACGCATGAGTTAATAAAAAATTACCACATTAATAAATCAAATAATCACCTGCCATGTATATGTCACGTAGGGCTACTGTCGTAGTGAGCGACTGCGAATAACATTTTTTTTTTCCAAACCAAACCTATGCAAACCAAAATGAGATTTTTGTTTTCAAATATGTAACAAGCTCAAACACACGCAAAATAGTGTTATTTTATCGAGGGTAGTTTGGGAAACAATGATTGGAGAGGTAGCTGTTCTATATTAGGAAGGTGATCACTACTTACTGATGTTGCTAGAAGAAAGACTTGCAAGTTGCAACTAGGGTAAATGGGAGTGAAAAATGTAGTAAATGGATAATATTAGTTACTATTTTCACATTGTGTACTAACTATTCTTTGTTTCCCTTTGTGCAGGCTCATTGCTCTCTAGAACGGGATGATGAGGTACACAACTTTGTTCATTTGTGATGAATTTGTTATCCATTGTCTTTTCTAGTTATTAGGTCAAAAAATGACGGTGATCCTTGTCTTTATGAGGGTTTGAAGCGTAAGCCTAAAAAAACCAATAAAATATTGCGAAAGAATGTAAATATATAGAAATATGCTTATAATAAACCATTAGCAATTTTAAAATACCATAAGAAATTAAATCATCAAAATTAAAGTCTAACGTACTACAACAAGGATAGATTGTTATAGAAAATAGAAAATTCTTAAATTAGGAATCACGTAACGAAATTGTAATCTACTACCATTATTCCAAAAGACCTTTTGAGGCTTATGCCTTGAGTTCTGCCTCACCCTCACGTGAGACTTTAATTGAACACATCAAAGCTTATGTCTTAAATGCCATTTTTGAGGCTTATGCCTTGATTTAATGAAGATTGCCTCGTGTTAGTGAGGCTTATGCCTTATGGCGACTAAAGTGAAGTGTTCTTCTGTTTGTGTTTGCCTCTTCTGGACATTTTATTATTTGCCTGAGCCTTTTGAGCTATTCTTTTATAACATAAAATGTAAACATTCTTTTTTTGTTTTTTTTTTTTTTATTATAATTGTTTCCCTTTACACGGACGAAAACTGGAGAAGAAACCTTTGTTATTTACAATACTGATTGTTCATATTACTTGTTAATTCTTTTCATTATAATTTTTTTTAATAAGGTTTATGGTTTATCATGATCATATTTTTGTACCTTATTGTTCTTTTAAATTATCTTATTGTCTTGAGGATTATGCTCGCCTAAATAGAGGTAAAATTCCTTGATACTTAAGGTTTTTTTAGACATTGTCTACTACTAGAATTGGAAGCAACTCGTAAAACATTCTATTTTATTAGAAAAATAACCCAAAAGCCAAAACCAGCAATAAATACCGAGAAAGGGCACAAATTTGTAAACACCTTAGTTGCCCTGAGGCGTATTACTCCTCAGCAAGTCAAGGAGAAAAACTTACAATCGGCACCTAAGGAGTAAGCTTGGAGGTTTTTAATAAAAGCCTCCGTGAGAGCTAACAAATATCTCTGGTCGACCAGAGCAGTGTGAATGAAGAGACCCTTGTTTCAATTGTTTGAGAAGTTCTGTGAAGAAATAGCACTAGATCTTTCAAATTTATGCAGGTTGGCTGAGGCAACAGCATTTCTTTGTGTCATATAATTATCCAATAAAGAGTCTAGTTCACTCTTGGCCTGAGTTTCAGCACTGTATTCATATGCATATATCTGTTCTGATCTGAGTTTCAGCACCATATTCATATCATAGGCACATCCTGGTCCGGCATCCACTCATTTATAATCATCAAGCTTTGGCTGTGTGAACTTACTGTGTGTTTTGATATGTGAGAGTTCCTAATTTCGCTTTTTGGCAGGATATGTACTTCGATGATGAATCTGCAGAAGTTGTCATTTCTTCCCTTCGTTTAGGAGATGACCAGGAAAGGTGGGTGGATTGAGTTATTTGGTTTCATTTTCTTTGATATCTCTGTCAAAATGGAAATAGCTTATCTGCTCGTAATGTTTTTTAGCAGAAGATTTGGCGAACTTTTATGGTCATATTTGAGTAATGCTATTTAGCATGAGTTATTTTTAATACCAGTCCAAGTGGCAACATTTGTGGTATTAATCCCTTATTTGACATCCATTATGAAGAGAATTTTGGTAAAATGTATTATGGAATAGCATTTTTTGGGAGAATGTGTGGTTGAAAAAGAAGGAATTTTTTTTGATTTATGTGTAATATCATTTTATTGAAAAATGTATTGTTGAAAAGAAGAGAGAGAAAAATGCATTAAAATTTTAAAGGGTGTCAAACAAGGGCTAAATGATAGACTCAGTCGAATGTAAAGGTATAGACCCCATTTATTTGGACTTGCCAGTTAATGACATCTAGATTGGTGTTAAACACCACTGTTGGTGTTAGATAGTATTATTCTATTTATATTGTTGCCTTTTATTGAAACACATTTAAGTTGTCACACCTGGATATATTTGAAATGTTTTTGTAGTCAATGAAAACTTGGTCCAATGTTGGACCAATTAGAGAGACCAAGGTTTACATCCTTAGAATCTTTGAAGCTGATTTTCAGCACAGGCTCGTAGGCGCTGCTGAAATAATCAAATGCAAAACTTACGTCTCTCAAATTGATTGTCAGTGAATACTTTTCATGAGATTCTAATCATATCCATATCTCAAGTGCTTTACATGTCCATGATGTGCCTTTGCACTTGTTACATTTTCTTATTGGTGATGTGTTTATACCTTTATTTTTGCTCATGTTTACAGTGGTTCTCTTTTCACGAACTCCAATTGGTTTGCACTTGAGGATGACAGAACAGTTAATGAACCGTCAACTGATTTAGTTGCTTCCGCATCCCCTAACATTGAGACAACTGAAATTGTCAATGGAGAAGCTGCAGTTGATGCCATTATCAATGAAGACAAGGATTTAACAGACACTGCATCATCTGAAGCTCATGAACCAAAAGGGAGTTTAGATGATCCTGTGGCTTGCAGTTCGTCGGGTTTAAATGAAGTTGGAACAGAGGGGCATGAGAAATCACAAATATCAGATGAAAGAATAAAAATATCAGATTCAGCCAAGTTGTCTTCAATCTTGAATTCTGCTGAAACATCTAATGCAGCTCAGCCACCATCTCTACCAGATCGTGATGTTCAAGTGGAATCAGAAGCTCGGCCAGATGATGTTGGCCAGAATGCTGGAGACACTTCCTCCGCCTCTGTTGATATGCCAGCACATAGTTTGGAGTCACTTAATCTAACAGAGAGAGAATCTGGGACAACTCCTTCACATGCAGAAGGTGAAGGGGCCTCAAACATTGTAAAGACAGATTCTCTTGCTGGAACAGATGGCTCGTCTAGACCTCCTGAACATGAAGAATAGAAGAAATGATCAAGGGAGTAAAATGTAATTTGCGTCTAGTGCTGTCAAGAAGAACTAAGCACTTGTAGCCTTGACTAGGGTGAAGAACAAGGAATTCTGCTGCTTACTGACTGGTATTATTAGCAGTTCCCTTGCCTTCTGTATTTTAATGGCACTTGCAATGAGCTTAGCCGATGATTCTCATTTTCGTTTTTATTGTTTCTTCAGGTAACCACGTGCTGTCATCTCATTTGATGGCTAACAGATTCTAGTAGGTACTTGGCTCCAAGCTTCCTCAAATTATCTATGTATTTTAGATTTAGATTTGTCGAGTTGGTTTTGCGAAATTGTTACGAAACTGACAGATACACAGTTGCTCTCTGTATAAAAGAGAGATTCAATTTAAACGCACAAATCCTCTCTAAACTAATTGCTTAATAAGATATAAGCTAGCAAAAGTACAGATAATGTTCCCACAAAAATACCTTTGAATATATTCATTATATTTTAGTCTATTACTTGAAACAATAGTCGTTCACTAAAACCCTGTTGTAGAAGGTTCAGTAGTTTGGTAGGTGAAAAGAAAGGCGATACAATACTGCCATCAATATGGACTAATGAGTTTTTGGTAAAGGTTAAATTCTTCCCACATTGGGTATTTAGCCTCCCTCTATATATATATATATATATTGTAATTTAGTGAGTATCTATAGATTTAGAGTGTGTAAAATTTTACATACTCCAACGGGCTTTTATTTTTAATATGTATTTATTATTTTTCTCTATCTTTTATTTTTACTAACTTCCTTTCAAATTATTATATTATTTTTCTCCACTTTCTTTGTATATACTATTTAATTGTGTAAATATATATAGTATTGAAAATTGGAATATTTTGAGAGCATTTAATTATAGAAAGTAAGTTTTAACTTTTCAAATTTAGAGAGTCAAATCCACTCTTTATTTTAAAATGTTAATTTAAAAAGTCTCTTAAGGTATAAATTTAAGGATTAATTTTTTAAAATGGAAAGCATTTCACTTTTAAAATGTCTTTTGAATTCTCTCTTAAAACTCTCAAGAGATTCATTAATTATATAGATTGTTCTTTATTACAAGAATTAAATTCAAAAATAAGCTTGTAAACTCTATTTTAAAATAGAGAGTAAATTTAAAGAGTCACCAATTATTTATTCGTACTTTATAACGATTGCATTTAGTAAACTACAAATTTCAAATCTTTAAAAAAATTATTACAATCATATTTGAATTGAATGACATTGACCCATAAAAAAATGTTAAATTAAAAGGGGAAATCAATAATATTTGTTGAGAAAAGCAAAATAAAGGGTTAAAATAGAAGTATTAAAAGATTTGCTCTAAATTTAAAGACGCTCTCGCACGCTTTTTATATGTAATTTGATAATAAAATCTAATTCGTCCATTGTGGTCTACATTAATTATCTCGTTCTTGAGTAAAAGGAAATACATTCACAAAGAGATTAATATATGCAGAAATTTAAAGCACACTAAACCGAAACTGTTTCATTGACCATCTAAGCCAGCAAGATTATGTTGCTGAAACTACTTGTCCCTCTTCCAATCTGCCCTCTTTTATTCCCTTTCTTTCAAATTCCTTAGCAGTGTCATATGAAGCATGCAGCCCAAAGAAGAAATAGTACACTAATAGGAAACCACTCCATATCGCGAACCTTATGAATGACTTCTTGTCTATGGACCCAAGAAGGAAGATGTTAATGGCAATGGATGTTGATGGCAACCAAGGAACCAATGGAATGCCCCACAGCTTCGGTATACGAGCTTGCGGGACGAAAATCCGAAGTCCAACGGTTGATAAAAACCAAATGGGAGCAAGTACGCAGTAGGCGATCCAACCACTTTCGCTAGTTCCCCAGTAAGCAGCAATAGCAATTGATGATCCAATGATAAGAAGAAGGAACACAATTAGTTTGTTCCGGTTTTCGACTGTTGTTTCTCCACTGACATAGTACCGACGAACTAGTAGAGCAACAGACACTAACATAAAAATTATAAGTGTTGAGATTGAGAGAAGGTTGGATAAAATGCCGAGATCCGTGAAGAAGGCAATGACTGCTGTAGCAGCAAGCATAATAATGGTGGCATTGACTGGTGTTCCTGTTTTGGTATCTACTTTCGCGAACCATGGAGGCATCATATGAGTACGAGCAATGTGGGTCAAATAACGTGCTTGGCCTACAGCGCTGACGAGCAAAACAGATGTCATTCCCTTCAATGCACCTGCAGCCACGATGTACTGAGCCCATCCCCAGCCTACAGATTCAAACGCCCTAGAAAATGGCGCATCAGGGTCAATTGTTTGGTATGGTTGCATTAGGCATAGAGTCACTGCCATCAAACAGTATATAGTAGTGGTGATCACCATAGATCCCACAAGGCCAATGGGAATGTCTTTAGCAGGATTTTTGGTTTCCTCAGCCATAGTTGAAACAGCGTCAAAACCAACATAAGCAAAGAACAAGACTGCAGAAGCTGCGAAGATACCGCGAGGACCAAATGGCATGAAAGGAGTGTAATTCGTAGTGTCTGCTTTAATGAGCCCACAAATGATGATGAAGAGAATGACAATTATATGGACAATTGTGGCAACGTAGTTGAGTCGAGAAGAACCCTTTGTGCTTAGAACGGCAATCACACCAACGATTGCTATTATACCAACAGCTATGGGGTCAAGTTCGTTGTAACCTTCCGATAGCTGATGAACTGTGATGCGGAAATCACCTGGCGTACGACTACAGAGAGTTGCAAAGTAGGATGTCCATGCACGAGCCACTGCAGCACCCCCAATGATGTACTCAAGAAGGATGTTTCCGGCTGCTATAAAGGCCATGAAGTCGCCTAGCTCCACTCTCAAGTAGGCAAATGAGCCTCCTGCAATATTGAGATCAAGACAAATATTTCAGATACAAACTGAAACCCAAAAAATAATCTTGGGCTCAACATCAAATAATAAAAGAGAATTTGGTGACACTATAGAATTAACTACTAAAAGATCCAAATAACCATCACCAACTAACTTAATTTTGTTCCTATAAATTTGAAGTCAGCTTCATGAATAGTTCCCGTTTAAGTTTTACGCTTGGTTTCTGACAATGAATGTGATCACAATATACAATATACATGAAGGATGTTTTATATCTCTAACATATAAGCGCGATTTTTTTTTTTACTTAAGATAGTGCTAGGAAACATTACTAACTGAAGAATTATTGTAATTCATTGGAGAATTACATATTTAACTAGAATCATCTTTTCAAATTCAGTATTTGTATTGATTTACAAATAGTTACCTGCAACAGGGATCTCCACAGCAAATTCAGTGTAGCAGAAGACTGAGAGCAAGGCCGACAGCCCTGAGACAGCATAAGAGATAACCACGGAAGGACCAGCGGCCTCACGCGCCTCACGGCCAGTAAGCACGAAGATTCCAGCACCAATGACGGCACCCATGCCAAACCAGATCAAGTCCCACCACGAAAGCGTCTTCTTCATCTCATTTTGGCTACGCGCCTTCACTTCTAGCTCCGCCTCGACACTGGACCGGGTAAGAACCCGATCCGCCAGTCTCGCAGGCGTCTCCTTCAACGCATTTACGTAATTTCCCCAGCTCTTGAACGACTCCTCGGGGAGAAAATCGCTCTTCGTTACACCCATTTTTTCCTATATATGCACTCGCTGCAAAAATTATAGAATTCGAAGTAAATCAATTTTTTTCTTATAATTCAATCGACTCAAGTCTAATCGACTGTGTATAAATCGACCGCCATAAACAGTCTCTCGATAACAGTCTATACATGTAAAACTTTGAAAATGAACTGATGTTCGGAAAAACATATGATTCACGGAATTTTCACGGGTGCTGGTTCCCTTTTTATTTTTTATAACTATCTGTACACCAAGCATCTCTCTTTATAGATATTGACTGAATGAATCTCTTCAATCACATCACCCACATATAAAAATTGAAAACCGAAAATCATCGAACAGAATAAAAAAATACAAACAAAAACATATACCTACACGCGCCGCTTCATAAAATAATGAACTCTAAATCAGCAATATATGGAAAATCAATCGACACGTCAAGAAGCTTATAATCGAAATCCTGTATAGATACATACATACATTTCTGAATATAGAAGACGAGGACCGGAAAAGTACAGTTCCGGACTCCGGAGAAAAGGTCGGCGGTGAAGCCGATGAGTTGAGACAGCGTGCAGCAATATTTGTTATAGTTATAATTATTGTATAGCGTTGACGGGTGATGCTTACTTATATATATAACTTATAAGCGAAAGTGTGTTTAAAAATAATCCATTTTTGAATTTTTACTTTGTCCGTGAATTGAGTGAGAATGAGAATCTGACTCCTGGTTCCAGCTGGCAGAATCTAATTACAATTATTTACCATTTTGAAGAGGATTAATGACAGACAGTTTTTTGACAGATTGACTTGGTAGTTTGTTGTCGAATAAAGCCAATTGTCCAGATTTAGAGCCTGTTTAGGAGTGATTTTGAGAATTGATTTTTTGATCGTTAGGAAAAAAGTGAGGTTCACATGTGAGAGAAGAAGTCAAATATGATGGCTGAAATAGTGAAATAATGGTCAAAAAATCAAATTTTTGGGTAAAAAAATTGGGCCCAAACAGGCCCTTAGAAAATAATTAGGTATTTTTGTTTTAATTTTTCAAAATTGTTCAATCATACGTCGATATGTGTCTCATCTGTATTTGAGTCTGGATTTGAGCCTGGATATATAACATAATTGTTTTTTTGTCTTTTTTTAACAGTCAGTGGACATTTGCCAAGTTTATCTGTGTATAAAAATTTGTCGGTGAGTCAGTTCTGTAGCAGAACTGTAATCACTTTTTATTTTTTTTTATTAATTTAAGAATGTGACAGGAAGAAATTGTAAAATTTGATTATTATCCAGTAAGAATTACATTAATCTCATGTGATGAACAACCCTTGTGAGTATGAACCAACATAAATTGAATGTCAAATTGATATAATATGAAGGACTATTTGCCTATCCCATCCATCTTAAAAAGGATATTTATGTATATGCTAAAATAATTAAGGATTCGTTTGGTATGATTTTTGAAAAGTTAAAATAAGTTTTTGAACTTAAAAGTTGTTTTTGGAACCGTTTAACTAGTTTTATGAAAAATATTACTTCTGATCAGAAAGGCATTTAGAGGAAACTGGTCCAATAAAACTTCATATAAAAGCACTATCGAAATAGAAAATTTTTTTAGAAATTATTTTTCAAATAAAAATTAAGATAATTTTTTCAAGAGCAAAATAAAAAAAATCATATCAAACGGACCCTGATTACATGTGCACGGGCATAATGCAATTGTATATCTATTCGTGAAAATTATATACAATTTCCAAATCCAATATTTAACGAGGGTTCGATGTTTGAAACAATAAATTTATGTTTTTTGGGTTTTTTTTTTTTTCAATTTCATGAATATATAAAAATGACAAATATATGAATGTGGAGTAAATGTTTTATCTTTCCCTCTAAAAAAAGATATTTATAAATATATCCGATTATTCCTTTTATACTTAAAACTTTGACAAAGGAATGAATAAATTCACTTTTAATGTTAAATTGCAATTTATAGTTGTGAATATTAACAGTCAGCCAATCTCTTTTAATTTATGAAATGGAAGTGGAAGAATTTGGAGATTCTCTCTCTATTAAATAGGAATCCCGAATAATGCGAGCAAAAGCATGTGATTGGTCACTGTTGTGGTTACGAATTAACGGCTGAGATTCTGTTCCAATAAGGCGGCTGGGTGCCACTTGAACGCTATTAAGGGGATTCTGAAAATAAAAAGGAAAAATATCTATTTTTCTGGCTACAAATTTAATAATTGACAAATACACCATTAATTATTATTATGGTGTATTTGATTGTCATTATTTTTCATAAAAAATGATTTTTTTTTAATTCAAAATTTTACTTTTTTGTTGTTTGATTCATATTTTTTTCGTTGAAATTTTTCCTTTTCTACTTTTTATCACATGATTATATTTTCCTTGAAAATAAAGAAAATATTTTCTTTTGGGGAATAGGTTTTTCTCTTTCTTTTTCCTTTATCTACCCACCAATAAAAAATGGGCAGACATGAAACTTTTTGAGTTAAAAATTAAATCAATCGAACACATTGGATTGACAATTTTCATACAAATAAATTCGAGGCAATTTCATACTTATAGTCAAACACACCCTTATTATTGTGTAAATACATATATTTGATTCTTTATTAATAAATATAATAAAATCCAAGTCAGACCTTGCTACATGTACATAAATGTTTACATAAGAGATTACATAATGTCCATATAGAACTTTATCATTTATCAGTTTAAAACACGATCAATTTTTTCATCCAATATTTTCCAATTACATCATTTTTTATAGCTGCTTATGTACCATTTTTATGACAAATAGCAAAATTCAAGTCATAATTATCTCTTTCTTTTTTCGGAAAATATTTAATCATTCATTAAGCTACATGAAAAATGCAAATATTAAACATTCTCTAATGCTTTTATTTTATTTTTATAAATTATTTTAAATATAACCCATTGTCACTAGGAAGTTTAGGATAAATTTCCTTTACTAGGGTTGACAGGTGCTCCACCTATAGGGTGCCAAGTGGCGGAGAAAAATCTTCAGTGACGATGAGACCTCCCTATAAGGGAGGGCCACCTTGACAAATGGCCCACCACACACCCTCGAGGTGTGTGGGCCACCTGCTGAGTTGGCTCCTCGACATTAGGCAGTTGCACCACGTGGATAGTGTGACCGTCCTACCGAAAATTTTCTCCAAGTGGTACACCTGTAATACCAGGGCCCTGGAAACCAAGCACCTTTCGGAAGTTTATTTGAATTTGTACAATACCGCAAACCAGGAATAGATTCAACGTTCAAAAGCTAAATCCGATACCTTGTTTAAACCCAACAAATGATATATTATTTTACCATTAAAAAGAATAAAGTTCGAAAAGTTTCCAAATCATATCAAGTCAACATAAAATTAAAAAGTGTCAGCAATATATGAAAAATCCATCAATATCTCGAGAAGTTTATAAAAGAAATCAAGTACACAAATATACATTTTTTAATATAGAAGACGTACAGTGAAAATAAGAATGATATTCATTGTCAACGATTACAATACTCATCATACGTGACATAATTTTATTAATTGAAAAATGAAATAACTTTTAATGATACTATGCCACGTAAGATATTACATACAATAATTATTAAAATAAGTGATTATGAACAATAATTTTCAAATAAAAAGTCGTGTCAGAAAACGTCAATGATTAAGCCAGTGAGACAAAATGTAGCATCTTCGTTATAATTATTATTTTATATAGCGTTGACGCGGGGCTGCTTGCATATAAGTGAAAACGTATGTAAATATAATTTGTTTTTGAATTTTGACTTTTTGAGAATTGGGAGGAAATCGTATAATTTAAGACAAAGTGAATGCCTCGTTAATATCATATAAAAGAATAATTTGCATGTCACTCCCTCAATGAAAAGATTAATGCGATATAGCCCTGACACTAGATAATAGGTTAAATGAAAGGTAAAATTAAATGAGTCATTTAATTCTACTTATTATTTAATCTCATATCAACGGCACCTGCAATTGAGTTGCAATCCCAGTGAGACTAACAGCCTGTTTGGGAGTGATTTTTTCCTCAAAAAAATTGATTTTTTGATCGTTATTTCACTATTCAAATCGTCATATTTGAATTCTTCTCTTACAGGTGGACCCCACTTTTCTCCTAACGATCAAAAAATCAATTCTCAAAATCACTCCCAAATATACTCTAAATGACATTGCTCCACCGAAAAAGACATTTATGAATACAAAAATAATTCAACATGGATTAAATGACATAGTGTGAACTTCTTGTTAGTACAATGTAAATGACAATTTGCATAACCCTCCCTTTATTATAAAAACATTTATGAATATGCAAAAATAACTAAACATGTGTGCATGGACGGACATGTTGCTACAATATAAAGGACGATTTGCTTATCCCTTCGGGCCGCCCCTACGTAAAAAATATTTATGAATATACAAAAATACTTAAACATGCCTATATAGATAGGCATAGAGCGAATGTCTCATTCCTTTTGCATATCCCATCTACGAAAAAGACATTTATGATTCAAAATAACTAAACATGGGTGTATGGACAGATATAAAATGAAGGGAAAATTACAGCATCGGTTTCTATCATTTTTTGTAGATTTTATTCTAACTTTCATTTTGTGTCAGCGAAAATTCCTAATCTTCCATAAATATGCACTTGAGGTTCATTTGGACGGAAACCGTCCAAAATACTGTTATTTGACAGGAAAAATTAAGAAATCAACATCCAATAAAACCATTCAAAAAGGTATCAACATCTAATAAAATTGTCACGGTAACAGATAGTTTAAGGAATTTTTCCGATCAACTGACAATGTTTTGAACGGTTTCCATCCAAATGGACCTTACGTGCATATTTATGAAAGATTAGGGATATTCGCTGACACAAAATGAAGGTTAAGGTAAAGCCTACAAAAAATGAAAATGTTAGGAACCGTTGCTACAATTTTCCCTAAAATGAATGATACATTGCTACAATTTAGAGGGAAAAAAAAGGAGAGAGATTTGCATGCTCCTCCATCTACGTAAAATATGTTTATGCTTATATGAAAAAAAAATAAACGTGTGTATGGATAAAAGGTGATGAAATTTCCTTATACACGTGTAATTATCTATTCATGTCACATTAAATACCTTTTCCAAACCAAACATTACAATACATGAGAAGGGTAACTTTTTCTTAGTTAAATCTACAAATCTACATTTTCGGGTTTTATGTTTTATCCACATCAATGACTATACAAAAATAACAAAACATGTGTGTATGAACAGATGTAAAGTCAATATTTCGTTGTTTATAAATGATGATTTGCGAGTTCATTTCTTCTTCAAAAGAGCCGTGTTGTTCAGACAGGGTTAAATCTCGGCCACGTGGCTTTGTTGTTTGACCAAGATTTAACCCTAGTCAAACATGTTTTTCCTTTTAAAAAAGACATTTTTGAATATACGCTTATTCTTTTATACTATTAAACTTTGACAAAAGGTGAATAAAATCAGCTCGGACGACTTTTGTGTTGGAGAATGGGATAAATTGCAATTTATTGTGTCAATATTCT